TGAAAAATTCGCAAAATTACAATGTCTATAAATAGTTAAAAAGTAGCTCAAATATTTTGAAAATTTTACAACGTCTAGAAAACGAAAATACGTGTATTTTGGTAAAATACATATGCACACAAATAATGTAAATTATACTATAAAGAGTATTGTATAAATAGTGAGTTTGATCACGTAGAACCCATGAGTCTTGAGGACAATAAAAATATTATTACACAACGGATTAACGGGCAAGATTCATTTTCGTGCAATATAAGAATAATATGAGTTAGTTTTTAAAAATACCGTCAAACATTTTCCGATTCTAAAATTACATAAATTAGCTATATTATGAACTTAATATGAATTTCTGAACAATTATAACTCAGTCATTTAACAAAAAACATATGTAAATATACTAGTTAGATATACTGTTTAGATAAGATATTCGTAAAGACTTGACATTTTTACAAAAAAAAATTGAATATTTGGGTCACAAGTTAGATGAAAATGGTTTACAATTACATATATTAACCAAACACACCGACATATTAAAAAAAAGCTGTTGTCCCAAATAATAAATCGTTATTGAAATCATTTTTTAGGTTTGATTACGTATTATATAAAATTTATTCCAAACGCTGCAAATTTTTTAAAACCGCTATAGAAGCTCCTATGCAATGGAAATAAATGGAATTGGCCACTAAAATGTGACAAACCATTAAAAAAATTATGATTTATGAACCCATATTAGCACATCATGATTTTCGTCTCCTAATTAAACTAGTATTAGATGCATCATCGTATGGATCTGGTATAGTACTTTCACATTTATACCCAGATCGTATAGAAAAACCTATGGCCTATGCATCTAGAATGTGTCCGAGTCCGAATATAAATTTCCACAAATCAAAAATAAAGCTTTAACAATAATTTACAGTGTTATAAAATTGTATGTTTATTTATATGGTAGGTATTTTATATCAGAAACTGAATATAAAACGTTAATATAGATTATGAAATAATTAGGTCCTTTTTATTACAATTATTACAATTATTCTGCACTTCAAATTATGTATTACCAAACTACGCTCGGAATTATATTTCGACAGCAATGTTTTATCATTGTTTACATATATAAATGAAATAACCTTATGTATCCTACCTCCTTAACTTCCTACCTACAACAGTGACTGCACCCATCCCCAGTATCAGCTCTTTTCTTTTCTTTGCACTTCTGTTAATGGTACTTGTAGCCTGATGTCAAGTCCAACACACTAAATATCTAGGCTTCACTAAAAAAGCGTATATCAGTTCTCCCGGTATGATAAGAAATAGAACCTCAAATGACCAAAATATCGAAATCCAAGTATACCAACTTAAAAACATAAAAACTTCACCCAGTCGACATTGTTTATGTATTCAACCTTTATATTTTTGCTCTTGCTTTATGTATTTGTCTGTGCTGTCATTTTTATTTTATCTATGGCAACCTTATTTGGGTAGTTTTTTTGTATACATTTTGAAAAATGATATATTACACACGAATATATATAACACATATGATTTGAAACAAATGAGTTATACAATTTTATATTATGTTTAATACATCGCAATTCACTGACTGACGTATCATTTATTCTATAGTTATTACGCACGGTTTAAAATATATTTTAAATCGTGTTATTACGGTACGAAAAAAAATTGTTGATAAAGTATTGAAAAAAAAAAACAATGTTTGTTTGTTCAAGTATGAATGTATTTTGAGTACAATAGTCTTCAAGGCTAACAGCCTTAATTCGACGGCATTAAATTTGTACGGAGATTAATTTCAGACTTTGATAGTTGGTACTTTTTTTTATTGAGGTTATGTTTCTTATCATACCGGGAAAATTGAGTATATTCCTGCTTACAGCTTCGAGCTGATCATCTAAATTTTCGACTGGAAATACGTTCTTCTTGGTTTGAGCATTTAGACGCCAATAGTTCATAACCAACCTCGCCTCATCAACAATACTGGGGACGCATATGGTTAACGGGTTTCTGTAATCATGATCTCTTCTTTTCGTTTTCTCACGATATCATCGATTGTTTTCCTTTTTGATGCGCTACATCGGTATAGATTTCCTACTAAGGGTGCCCCTTCGTCTTAAGTATCCATTTTGATCAGATTGGTGCATCCCAACTCCTTCAGGTTGAAAGCAAAACAACATCTGTACTCGTTCAACAAATCCACCGATGACCCCACCTCTTCGGGAGAAAAACTGTCATGCACCATATCTAGCTTGATGGGCAACAATTCCTGGGTCAATAGTGTTAATAGTTCCTCCCCGTATGGTTGTCTTAGATTTCCCGTAGTCCCATAACTGGACCGTCTTAGGTTTAATTATCAACCTGTATCTCTCCACCACTGATCGTTAACAATGGACACTGCACCACGCATATCTATCTTATTGATACTGGATTGTTGTTCATATCGAAGTTTCACATATATTACCTTCGTTGCTCTCATATCTTGTCCCACTAATGCGACTTCCACATTGTTGGGCTTTGTTCCACTTATTGTATCCCCCCCCTTGTATCTTGGTTACTCCTGTATCCTATCTGATAAGCATTGACCAGCGTACATATTAATTTTTCGAGCGTTTCTATCCCAATCGTATATGCTTCCGAAAATACTGACTACTAGACGTTCCCCGAATCCTTCTGTATTACCACTTCGATATTTTAACGCCTAGACATTTCCCGAATTTATAATACAACTCTTATATATTAATTTCCTCTGTGTCCGATCCCTTATACTGCACCCACCTGCTGACTGTATCATTTCCTGTGTGACCACGGAGTTGGGAGGCGAGGCGGCGAAGCCCCTGCTTTTAGTGGAGCTTAGCTGTAGCGTCTTGTTTTACTATGAAATGATAAATATTGTTGAAAAAGCATCATTATTAACTGAACTCCGCTCAGAATCGTTTATTCGTTATCAATGGTTTATTGATGCTTACATGTATACATTAAATTACCAATTACAGTAGCTACACCCGTCCCCATTATCCTAGGACATCTTTTTAATCTTTTAATCTTTTTTAACCTAAATACCGAGCTTTTCCCCATTATCTCGAATATTAATGAGAATTTCAAAAAATAATAATTTTATAGTACCACCCAGTGAACGTTTTCTTTTAGAAAATGTACTATACTTGATAATTGGGCTATGCTTTCTGGTAGAAAAAGTGTTCACATAAAAAAAAAAAATTAACATTATTGTAAAACCAATACATTCCTCACCCCACTCAGAATCTAAAATAATAATAGTTCTAATATATTTATTCCGCCATAAAAACAGTTAGTACATGTTTAAAGTAGCAATAATGTCTAACAACAACAATTTGGGCAATTTGTTTAATACTCTAATTTTGCCTAGGTACTGCACATAATGCCCTACTTCTTCCTTTGCCCATAATGTATGTAGCAAATACCTACACAAATTAATTGATTGAGGGATGATTGCCTACATCGCTCTCCTTCCTCCTGCCCGGTACCCACATGGCTGCACAACGATGAGTTTGGGTAGCCTGTTATAATAGACCACCAACTGATTATTAAAAATAATTGTTTATCCACTGTAGCGTGGTTTTTAGTTAAAATTGACTAAAATTAAATTAAAATAACTAACAAGAATTAAAAAAGTGCGCGTTGATAAGTATACTATAATATGCTTGCAGTATTATAATTCGTGTCACATTAATATTAATAATACATTAGTAAAACCGTATCGGTGTATTTTCTTCATAAAAGCATAATAACAGTGAAGTACCTATTATCTCATAATTTTTATGATTTACTTTTATATCATGTAAATCAGTACAATTTAGAATATCTTTGATTATGTTCAAAAATTAAAATTTTCTTTAGTTTGTGAGTTTGGTTTAAATTTATCAAAAACTGGGATTATGTTTAGTTAAAATGTAAATATTTATCTAAAAATATTTCCTTGGTCGTCTTATTAATAAGTAATATTGTTAACTAATTTAAAAGAAACATAGTTTTAGACGCCTATAACTAAATTTTGATCCACTGTATGCCACCGGCAGTTTCCATGAAAAATGATTTTAATAAATAACTTTCTCCTACCCTGTGATACTGCTATCAAACTCACCTGCTCATTCCCCTAACTTTTTCTTCAAAGTTAACTTTTTTTTAGGGCTATTTGCATGAATCATTGTAATTTTTTTATTAATTATGAAGGATAGAATTTTTTTTTCAATGATACAAAAAAATAATAAATAATAAATCATATCTATAACCGAATTATAACTTCTTGAAAACTTTTTTTTTGATAAAAGTTACTACCAATATCCCTCCCACAACTATACTCTACATACGGCTACATTCACAACGTGTAACCGCCAGGTGGTGCTAATTCATCATCGTGATTTCTATAAATTAACTTATTATCAATTAAATTATCACTTCTTCCTATTTTTTCTAACTGGTTCTAATACAAATATTATTATAACTACCTTGTTACTATATATCTACTAATGGCAATCCCTACAATCCGTTATAATCTAACAAGTTAATATGATTTACGCGTGACTACGTAGTCTTATTGCGAGTTACAAGTACTAATGACAAGTACAACAAATCACACAAACCAGGCATAACATGTGACCTATAACCGAGAATACAAAACAAATAACGATAGGCGGTGTTAAGTTACCAAAAGTCCGAGAAATCACTGGCTTCTAGCCTTGCTTAAAATAATATCCGTAAAACTATATAAATCTTCCTAATTTGTATTGCTAAATACTTACAGAGTGCTATAACCCTCAGCTACGGTAAATAAATCTACAGAGCTCAAAGAACCCACTCTAGGTAACTTATATAGTAACATTTGTCCCATTAACTTTGTTACAGTTGTCCAACTGAATGTTGTGTAAATAATGGTGTAATATCGAAGAAAAATAAAATAAAATTTTTAAATTAATTATTAACAGTATATTAAAATATATTTTAATAATTCTGAATGTTGGAAGTATGTTCACTGTTTGGTATCTACAATCCACATAAATAATCTACATTGATGTACTTTGAACACACTATTATTATAGTGGTGATAGTAGTGATCTATTGAGCATAAAGAGAAAACGAAAATTTTACTTTGATATTACTATATTTAATACAATTTATAAATATTTATTAAATTCAAGTATACCTATCGAAGATATAAGAATGTACAAATAATATCGAATTTATTTTTTTTAACAATATAATATTGTGAAATATATTCATATAAATGCAATATACATTTTTTTTGTCAGATTTCATCAGGTTTCTCATCTGGTAGTATGGATGAAAGTGGTGTGCCATTATTCGCTTCCAGTCTTTCACAAAATTGTTTTGGATGTGACTTGTCGACTTTATTCTCTACAAAGAAGAATATAGAATTATATGAATACTTAATTACATTTTAATTGTATACGTTAATGTAACAGTATATTATTCCAGTATTGATACTGAATATCCATATAAAATGAGAATATAAATAAAATAACTTCCTTAAGTTAAAAATAAATGAATACTATGAAAAAATTATTACAATAATTGTTATCCTTGAATTTTAAAGATTATGGGCAGTGCGAGAAATGTCTTAGTTTTACATTTTTTTCTATAAGAAATTTTTCTATCAGAAATTTTACTCCGATTTTCAAGGTTTTATTTCTAAAAGTAAATTGGTCTGAGGCGGTACTTAAGGAAGTATAGAATTTTTTTTTTATACAATATACCTATATTAAAAATAAAAACATAAATTTCGTTTTATTATAAATTAATACTTTATATATTATTCTATTAGAAATCGTATATTTTCCTTTGATTTTTAAAATAAAAATATAAATCGCATGGCATTATAAATTATTGTCCGTCAATCATCCTGTTGGTCGAATGGTTGTTAGTTGATAGACCCAGACTCGTTATTAAACGACTTATTTTAAATTGCTATATATTAAAAGGAACAAAATCGATCTCCTTCCATTTTTCGATTGGAGTAATATTTAAATCGATCACGCGGTGCATGGACCTTAAGTATTTGCCGTTTCCCCTATTTTTTTCGGGGTTTTCCCAATTATTTCAAAAACCCCTTGAACAATTTTTTTTTTAGATCAGGTACTGTACTCTATAGATAAGAGCAAGATTTCTTTTCAAAAAGTTCTTTGCTGACAAAAAAAAAAAAAAACCCAATATCAAATTAAAACCAATAGATAACTTGTTATTCTCTGAATCTAAAAATTATTTTATTATTAAGTTGCTATAACTTAAGTAAGTCTATTACAGACTATAGCAATTGTAATACCATTATTATTTTAGCATTTTGAGTCCGATAAAACTTTTAAGAATTTATGTGAGAAAAACAATAGTCTTCTAAAATTATTATTATTATTATTAATTCACGTCAAAGTACCATCGAAATCCGCAAAAGTCATCAGTTGCTCAACATAATCATATGCGTCACCTATAAAATGTAATCATGTATTTATACTTTTTTAATATAGTTAATATCATTAAATAATACTACCCATAAGCAATAAATACCTAAAAGTTAGGTAATCGATATTTTTCTATTTAAATAAAATATTATTTATCATTTAAGCAGAAATAGGCTCGATGGAAATGTAGAGTGCACAATGCTATAATAAGATTGCCGAAAATTATTATATTTAAAACTTTATAAAGATTTTCGATTAAAAAATTAAAAAATATAACCTGCCATTTTATTTTTTATTGTTTTTTTGTTATAAATAAAAATACTAAGACATCCGTTAAAAAGTAAGAGTTATACAAACTGTACTTACTTGTCGTATCGATATTAGCAAGTGCTATAATATTAAAATAATATTATTTTTATATATAGTAGACATACAACAATACAATTAGTAAATCATTATTATTTATTATAATTATTATTGTCTCTTTTCGATTCTCTAATTGCATGACTAAGTCATAGGTGATGCTTATCAAGTACCTGGTTATTAAATTGGTTTGCTAGGATAAAGGCTGGTTTTTCACTAGTTCGTTCAATGTTATTATTAACGCTATATAATAATTTATTACATTTATTTGGTTTGCTATTTTATGATATAACATCACTAATTAACTGCCATTTAAGTTTGATGTTATTTTCAAATTAAATTAATTTTGTTTTGCAGTACATAATTTTAGCTTCTTTTATTAGTTTTGTAAGCTTGTTCCTAAAACTAAAATATTATTTTTTTAATTTTAAATTCAAAGAATGTTTTCTAATTTGAGTGTGGAGACAATCCCTTTATCGTATGAATTTAATTATCGCTGTAGTAGCCCATGGCATTAGGATTTTTAGTTTTTGAAGAAATGGATATTTTTGGTGATTTTTTTTTTTGATTATTTTTAGTTTCAATAAATTATTGATAGTGTGATTTATATCGATAAATTTTACTATTTCAGAATAAATATGATTTTGAATAAGCATGGACAATTTAAATTACCGGTTTTTAAGATTTTTAAGGGATTTGAAATAATATTGGTTTAAATTTTATTTTCTAGTTGGTTTATACGAGTTTTCAAAAGATTATTTTCTGTCTATATTTTACCAATAACACTAAATTTATTCCTTAAATTATTAAAATTGTCATTTGTATCATCCTCGAAATTTTGAAAACTATCTTTCAGTTGAAGAATAATCTCTTTTATCTTAAATAATTCTACATTTTCTGTGCAGACCAGATTTTCAAGCAGTAGAGACGCTCTTTTGATGCTAGAAAATTTGTTACGCTTCCAAATAATATATTAACTACTTTTAAATAGTCCAAGTCTTTTAGAGAGTTTTTGACACTTGGCATGTCATGTTA